AACCACTAGACGAAAACATTGTATAAAACCACTATAGGCCGATGCTTTTATCAGACAACCATAATCAGCAGCTCTGGGATCTTCCAGCACTTCAGGGCTAATTTCTACGTCACTGTTGAGTAAATTCCATGGCATGGATAACCTAAATTATTTGGAAGATTAGACTGCAGGAAGCATAGCAAATATTACTTAAAGCCTTTTTAAAGCTGCTGTACAAAGTGCACTATAGTGATAAAATAGAGCAATACCTAATTAATATGCACAAAAAAGCCCTATAAACAATTTTAACCCCTTCCTTTCCACTGATTCTTAAGGGTCATGTGAACAGAACATGCTGCATTCAGCAAAGCAGAAACATATCTTGGTTATGAAGCTGCTAGGAGTGCAAGTCTCTTACAGAGGAAACTACCCATAAACACAGTGAGAGATGAGGCTTCCCCATTCAAAACTATGGTTTTTCTTCTTATTACTCTGATGTTGGCAACCCTCTACCAGTTCATCCAGCTCCCTTAGCACTGAGCTCCTTATCCCAAGTTCTCTCTCTGTTTACTTCCCTTGCCTGTGAATATGAACTTTTTTCTCTCTTCTGGATTACAGGAACCAAGAATTTTTACTGTAGGGAAAGCCTCTGAACATGATATTCCCTACTGCTTCATCTCATATGTGCTCCCTGCTTCTTCCCATCTCTCTACCATTTTCTGCCCTCCACATGGTTGTTCCACAAGGTAACGACACGTGCTTGAGGTATGGGCCAGCCCACTCATCAAAAGTCCACGCTGCCTTCAGGGAGGTTCTCATGCACTCTCAGCTCTCTCCGTTGTTCTTTCAGAAAGGACTCTCATTTAATGAAAGCAGCACATACTGCTGAAGACCACAACTCCATGATGATGCCTGTGTCACCCCAGAGCCAGGGGTGACCTGACAGTGTGAGAAAACCAGGCTAAATCTGCAGAAGATGATTTTATGAGCACAAAGTTACAGAGAACTGCTGACAAGAAGCCAATACAGCTCATGCACTTTCCTGGACTATTTAGACAAATGGTCCACACAATATAGTCCCACTGGCAGCTCCGTGAGTAGTCGGGTAGCAGGAGGCAAGTGCAGCATCCATATATTCACAGGTACATGTAATGTACACAAAAATATATAATAAGCATCAGCAGCCTTCATTAGAGTGCACCCAAGAATTATGGAGATCCCAACCTTGCAAGCCAAATAAATTATTGCCAGAGGATTATTATGTATTCTAACAATATCTAATGTACCTCTTTGTCTCTCATAAATTACAGGGCATCCTCTGACTCCTGGAATACACTCTGCCTCATGTACAGCCACTATGTAGTCTTTTTTTCCTCTAAATACACACAATAGAAACTCTAATCAGCATGGTCTTGCATAGGGATTTTAATAGCCGAGAAAAAGGTACTTGTAGTCACACGTTCACTGCCCTGGTGTAACTATTTCAATCACCAAAGCAAATGACCACAATTTAAATGTGCTGATAAAGGGGAAGCTCATTTGCAGTGTGTATGTAAGAATATCATTATTAGCTACACACACATCTCTGTTCACTGTGCCACGGGAATTTTACCACTGTACAAAGTATCTCCATCCACTGCAAACTGTAACAGAGTCTCCACAATCATTTTGACTTTCTGCCTTTCAGTCCAAAAATTGGCAATAACACAATGCTTCTGCATTGACTTGCCCAATGTGGACTTAACGATGACTCTCAATAGCGGGTCATCGAACTCAGCTCACTTCAGCAACCACCCCAGAAAAAAATCCCTTATATTTTAACACCTTACACTCACAATTGATCAGCACCCAGCAAATCTCAGCCCTGGTGTTTATTTGCATCAATAAATAGTTGAACCTCAGGTGATCTTGAAATTAGCAGAACTTGGTGCTTTTGCCCATACTGGAATTGGCTGATTACTGTTTCCCAGCAGATTTATCCAGACATTAGATACCTGCTTCAAGACTGTTAAATGTCTGGATATATCAAAAAGCACCACAGATTCAGGAAGTTCTGTACTTCAGAACCAGCTCCTTTATTGTCCATTTCTGCTGGGAAAGACATGAAGAATGCATTTGCTTGCTGAACTGCAGAGAAAGCTAAAATTACTTTTAAATGTCCCATTTCATTTACAAGGCCATAAGGACAGTTGTTTTGCATTATTTTCCCAAATTCTTTCGGTTTCAGGTTCCTTTTACCACTTACACTGTCGTATACACACACACACACACACACACTCACATTCTCCTTTAACATGAAGAGTCCAAGAAGGAAACTGTGCATAAGCTGGGCTGTATTTTTAATATACATTAACAAGATGACAGACACCCTGAGTAGCCTGGTCAGGGAAAGCAAATGAAGACAAGAAATATTCTCAGAGTGTTATTGATTAACTGTTTTTCAGAACAGAGGGAATCATTTTTAACTGGTTTCAACTATGATGGACTCAAGTGGAAAATGCAAGCAGAGTTAGCAAGGAGCATAATTGACTGGGCATGGAACTAAGTAACCTCTCAGCACGCTGGAAGTGGTGGAGCCAGGGGGGTTACAACCAGGGCTGCTCCAGACCCAGAGCCCTTTCTTCCCAAAGTGAACTCTGCCAGCAGCCAAAGACGGCAATGACAACAAGTAAAGGGAGGGGAAAAAAAAGGAGGAGAGAAAAAAAGGTCCAGCCACTCAGTTACATGATCTAAATTCTAATCAAACATCATTTAAAGCATGTTTTATTTCAGCCTCTGGAGAGATAGTCCCTCCTGACTCCTCACCATGGCAACCGGTGTCTCATTTCAGAAGTGTCATGCCACATTATCATCTTACCGGCTCACACACTCCTGCCTGACAAGTTCTCTCTGCCCCTTGTGACAACCGTTCCAGGCTTATGCTGTTTATTTTTGGTGTCAGGCTGGCCCTGGCAGATTGAAAGGCAACCTCAACCCCTTGAACAACAAGCACCACACCCCACTTGGTGATAAGAGATGATTTGAGAAGATATTTGCTTACATGTGTATAAGCAATTTGCTGTATGATGAAGCCCCAGTGTGTTTGTGTGAATGCATGCCTATGTATATGTGTGCAAAGGGGAAGGAAATGGAGAAGCGTGACGTTCCAGGAGAAAGCAAACAATTCATTTCAGATCCCAGGTAGTAGATTTTAATCATCAGATCCTGTTACTCACACAGAACAGTATGAAATATAGGCCAAAAAGGCATTCTAGGTACTCTATCCTAAGAGACATGAATGCAAAGCCAGACATTGTCTCTGCAAAATACCCTCACTGCGTCCCTGCAGAGGGGCTGTGAGACACAGCAGCAAAGGATGGAAGGAAGGAATGGGGACAAAATGTGGTATTAATTGCTAAAGGAACACACCAGAGAGACGCTCTGGGCCAGATTCATCTCTGCTGTTTTAGTGTCAATTTGGAGCAACATCACTACTGCCAGTGAATTTACCTGGGATCATCAGCAATGCGAATTACAGAATCTCTACTCACCTTCAAGTAACAGATTCTCTTCAGCACAGCCAAGACTTTCTTTTAACTGTGGTTTTCTGCAGCCTCTACATAGGTAGGGCTAAGCCTGCAGCTGGGCTTCTTCATGTAAGCACAGCCATGATGCTGATACTCAGTAGGTATTACATTTACATTTAATAGTAAACATAAGAGCAGTATTTCTGACATCCATTTGACTGTTGAGATAGTGGCAGTAAAGCAGCAATTCTTTCCATTCAAGAGACACAGAATTAGGAACAGTTTCCTACCTTCCCATCCAAGCAGGTAGAGAACAAACTGTTCTTGGATTAATTGTGCTGTTGTTACCTATCATCAAGCCTGGGGGGGAAGCCCCAGGCTGTCAGATATGCTATCTAGGTAGCAACACCACAAAAAAGAAATGAAGAAATAGGTGTCGGCAGTAAAGACATCAGCACAGATTTCATATTTACTGTTCAGACCAGTTTCAATAGCCCATGAGAGAAGATGGGTGAGGATCCACTCTGGAACAATGCACTACACAAAGGGAAAGTCCCTCTCAGGTAAAAAGGGAAGGAGTCATGAATAGTGATTTTACTTTTTTCCACACAAGTTGTAACTATGCTGGGACAGTTGGAATCTTGGTCTTACTTTAATCAGTAACTGATTTCCCAGTTATCATTTTCATGGACAATAACCACTTTTACTATTTCTAACCAAATTAAATGAATGTCATTTTCACACCAGCCACACAAACCCAGCAGAATATCTGACTGTGATGGGTCATTCAACACCATCACAGTCACCAGGAACATCATTATCATAATATTTGTATATTTTTCCAGAGAGAGCCAGAGGAGTAACTTAGAACACTGAGAAATCAGCCAGTTGGGAACACTTGGGAACATTTTACTTAAAAGGAGAAAAGCAGCATTAAATGCAATATGTGTGACATACAGCTTATATATTTCAGGTCATCTACAGACACTGGAGTTCCCATTCCCATATTTCATGGAGACAACAGAGCATCTTCCTCTGATAAGCAGCCAAAAAGGGCTGATTTCTGGGAACTTCATTGTGATTTCACACAAGTGATTCAGAAGCTGGTTACTGACAAATACAGTTGCTGCAGCGATCTCTTTTTCCTGCTTAACACAGGTCATCAAACGTCTGCACTGTTTTCTCTGTGGCTATGTCTATCCCAACAGAGAGCAGAACTCTTCTAGTAAAGATCACCAGGCTATGAGTAGTACCTACAGCTGCTGATGAAGGACTGATTCTAAAGTCAGTCCACACAATGGGACAATATAAAAATAAAACAACATCTGTTCAAAACAGCCATCATGAGGACACAAAATTATGGGCTCAAGAGACAGAGCAGCTGGACAGGGACCCTGGTGAGAACAGCACTGCTAATGCCAAGTGGGAGGATATCAAATAGTTCATAATTACTTTGGCAGTGATAAGTGTTTTGGGCAAAGCTGGTATGAGCCATGCCTCCCAAATTGTTCTTACCTTTTCAAAGCTGTGTGCTGAGAAAGGAGACCGTGATGGAGGAGACTAACATCGGAGAAGGTTAGAAGAGGAACAATCTGAAGCCTGGCACAGCACTGCAAAACAAGGTGCAAGAGCATTTAGAAGAGAGATGAGTGCGGTTTACATGGATCGCAATGTAAATAAAACTTGACCCAGTTATCTCAGAGAAAGAATCAGAGACTGGGCAAAGCCACACAATAAACTCAGATGCAATCTTTGATTAAATAAGGAGCTAATTGGAGAACAGCTTTCAGTAAAAACAAACAAAGCAATATGTTCATTTAATTTTTAATCCATTTTCTGGTAATTGTACCACAGAAAGACAGAGGTTTACAATATCTGTAAACAAAATACGATCATCCCAAGACACACTAAAGGCATTTTACAGAGTTTGTAAGAGCAGAGCGTGTACATTTTTAAAACCATAAAATGAGGAGAATTAGCACTGATTATGGAGCAGCAATGAAACTCCCGTGCTGCAAGTCCCATAAAAAGCTATAAACACAGCAAATGCTACAGGAGGTCTTTCCAGAAAAAAAAAAAAGGAAGACAAGGGGAATATTTCACAGTGCAGATATAGCATCCAGGGAAGGAAGAGAGGAAGGAAGGGATGTCTGGACGGCTGCACTAAGCACGGGCTCAATTCTGCCCCCAGCTGCAAACCTGCAGCACCTCACCAGCTAAGATTCCTCCATTTCCATATCAAACACAAGCATGTACCTAGAGGCAGAATTTAACCTGCTCCATCAAACAATGCACAGCTAACAGAGATGGCCACCCACTGTAGCAAAACATCACACTGCCCAGCCACCTTGTTTTACAGGAAACATACAGTATAGATGTAAATCAGCAGTCTTTTTTTTTTATCCTGAAAGTGCGTGGGAACCTCTACTCAAAATTGCATGCACAGTCAGGTGTAAAAATATGTATACATGTGCACGTGTTGCTATTAACACATAATCCAGCCTCGGAGACTTCCATTCCCAAATGCCCTAGGGAATAACTACTTACTCCTTCACAGGTGCAAAAATCCACCTTGCACAATGATGAACTGTCATGTTGCCTGTGTGGTCCATCTATTCCTCTCTGCCCACAGGTCTTCCTCACACCAGTACATGCTCTTTATACTCCATTAAAGCAAATCACTGGTATTCTTCAGCAAACAATGTCCCAGGAAAGGACTCAAGGACTGGCAGGAATTCAGCTTTGGCAAGCAAATCCTGTATTTTTGTCTTGTATTTGCAGTTGCTCAGGCATATCTATATTTCCATCCGTACACCTGTCTTCATAAAAACCTAACTGCAACAAAATAAATGAGAATAATTCTGCTGTTTCTGTGTTTCCGGTATGTTCCACCAGCAAGTGGGTAATAAACCAGTAAACTCTCTAAAGGAGACATTACCAATCCAGGCCATGCAAACAAACACTTCACCATTTTATAATCTCACATGTCAGATGAACATCATCGTTCCCTTTGGTGCCTTAAAATATCAGGTCCATAAAATTACTAAAAGGCAGAGCTGTAAGCTCTGCCTAATGCTATGAACATCTAGAATAGACACAAAAGCTGACAGTGCTTTTGTTTCCCACAAAATCCTCTCCTCTCCCCAGACCCAAGTGATGGTCCCTTTACAGTCTCCCTAAATAAACACCCAAGTTTTGATTTCTCACATTTGCTATGTCAGTTCTTCTCTTTCCCCCCGCCTTAAAGTGTAAGACTGCATAACGTATCTGTGACTCCATTCCCCTCCTGGCTACCCACAAAGATAGAATCACACTTGCCTCTGAGAAATAATGTTCATTTGCAAGTGAGTCTGAAGCCTCCAAGCTATGTCTGTATCATCTTCACTCATTTGTGGTTTTGCATTTGCAGACCAGGTGTTTGCTGTGTGAAATGCTTGCAGAGGCAACAGGGGAGCGAGACCCATCTTGTACTTGAGCTTCCCTGGGACAAAAGCTGGCTGGAAGCTGGAGTTGGTCCCTCTGTGCTGTGGAAGCAGTATGCTCAGAGCAAGGACTGATGGGCAGATGCAACCTGAAGCCACCCAGCGTGGATGCAGTTCCAGCTCCTGCCCATCTGCAATAAGAAGATACCAGCACTTCTTTACTGTTTAATTCTTGTTTAGAATGACTTTAGAATTACAAACTTCTCAGGAGCACCGCGAGGCTAAACAAGAACTACTGTGAGACACTGAACATGGGAATTAGAGTGAGTAAACTCCTGGTCTGTCCATTGCCAAAGTAGTACACATAGTGTGGCAGATGCTGACACAGAGAAAGTGGCTTTTCCAGGAAATGGAGAGGGTTTTCCAGCTTTATCCTAAAAAGAAAACCACTCCTGGACCAACTTCCCAGATAAAAACCCCAAATGAACCCATGAGCGTGGCTGCGAGGGGTCCTCCTTAGCTCCCAAGGCCAGGTTTACGACAAGGCTATAATTTTGCAGACTAATAAGATCAAGCTGGTGGCAAAAGAGGGCGGAGGGAGTGGAAATAAAGTCAGAGCTTTGGGGAGAGGAGGAAGGAGGCAGGCTGGTGAAAATGCTGATATTTACTTACTGTAAACGTCGAGCCTATAAAACCTTCCCTCACCCAGCAGCCTAAAGTGCCAGGCAGACAACAACAACAGCATGCTTGAATGAAGTTGTATATTGTTTTGTGAAAGCTGAGGCTCACAGCAGAACGGAGGCTAATAACAACCACAGTTTTCTGGGTGTAAGTCACAGGAGCACACTAACACTTGCTGATGGCATTCAGCCTGGCAAAGCAATTGCTGCAGCACTAGGGCTCCTATTTACACCAACACAGCATCTCGGAGTCTGTTTGCTGTTGGGTCCTTTGGGGTGTTTTCAAACCCAAGTGAAAAGGGGCTGAATTTCTGGGGGCTGCCTGATCAACACCACATGTGCCTGCTCCCAAGACAAAGGAATTCAACCTGCAAAGAAACAGCTCTTGAGAGGAAACACTTGCAAGGAAGCTGAGGCATGTTTAGATGCATTCCTTGCGAGGCTCTGCCTGGCAAAGCCACCAGGAATTGCCGGGATTCCAGAGCAAAACTTCTGCTATACATAAACACACTTACGTGGGGGGATAAGTTTGGTCAGATGTCCCAGTGTCTTTCTGGTACATGGAAAACGGGAGATCAAAATCCCCCGGTCAGGATCCCTCTGTCTGGAGCAGCCACCAAAGTCCTGTGGGGGAGACCCAAGGTGACGACCGCCATGCCACTGCTCCTCCGGCCCCCGTCAAGGCCCGGCTCCGAAGTGCTGCCGGGGAAAGCCACGTTCGCAGCGGCTTCTTCGTTAATGGTTGTTTTTATTTATTTAATGAGGTGTGGAGCAGCCTCTAGCGGCGGGCGGAGGGCACCGGCTCCCCCACAGCCCGGCTGCGGCGCGGCGGGCACCGGCTCCCCCACAGCCCGCCTGAGGCGCGGCGGGCGCTTTCCCGCCCAAAAGCTACCTCAGGGGGCGGCCTTGCCCAGCCGCCATGTTCACACACCGCCTCACAGCACCCCGTTCCCCTTATGGCCACCAAGTGATGATCCCCCTGCAAAGTCACCTTCCACCCGGGGCTTTACCTGAGGAAGATGCACACAGAAGCTGAGCCATGTTTAGCCTCCTCTACTGTGAGGCCATGCTGGTCCAAAGAGGAGCTGTCAGCAATGGGGTGCAGTTACGCAGCTGTCCCACAGGTGTTAGTATCTGGTCCAAGCCCACAGTGGAGTGAAGCACATTCCACAGGTTGATGTTCAAGAGTTCGAGTTTGGACACAGGGGCTTGGAGCAACCTGCTCTGGTGGAAGGCATCCATGCCCGTGGCAGGGGGTTGGAACTGGATGAGCTTTAAGGTCCCTTCCAATCTCAACCATTCTGGGATTCAAGGATTCTTCTTGTTTTCCTTATTTCCTTCTCTCTGAGGCACAAATGCAGTTAAATTAAAAGGCAGATACGAGTCAGTCCTGGATAACAGGAATCCAGTGGGCAGCACAGCCGGGGCAGACGTCTCCTCACCCAACATGGCTGCCTGAGGCGGCTGCGCTCCCTCACGAGCAGCACACTTGGCGTGAGGCGGCTCTGGTTCAGTTCCCTCTTCATTTACACCCCTCAAACCCGCCCAGAAGCACTGGAGCTCAGAGGAAGGCCCCAGAAGCCTCCAGTCCTCCCCAGCCCAGCAGCCGCTCACCCGCTCCTGTCCCTGCTGCTTCCTGAAGTGCTTCTGGAGCGGGTTCATCCATGGAAACGTTACCGAGTCTGGTGGCAGAAGGCAGAAGACAGGCCAGGTATGGGATGCAGCAGCTTGTCTGAGGTGACCAGCGAGACACACAGCTCCCAAGGCTGGTTGTAGGTAAGAACCCAGGCTCCCATTTTGTTCTGGGGGAGAAAACCAGGCAGTTTTCCCAACCCAAAAACATGAGTTTCAATAGGCAAAGCCCTTCCTGTAGTCCCTGTTACCTGCTTACTGTAGGCAATGAGTGCTTTAAAGCTGGTTGGGTACAAAATAAACGGGCACCAGACAGAACCAAAACAATGCTGGTTTCCCCCAAAACACAAGAGCAGTTTCCTCCTGGTTCACCATTGGAAAGTCAGACACAGCATGGCTGATTGTAGCTGTTTAGCTTGCACTTACCTACTTCAGGGGTGCTTGAATTAATTAGGAGTGCATGAATCAGAAGTCTTCCATTGGAACCTGGCGCAGAGACGTGCCTGAGCAGTGCTTGGATTGCACTCGTGCTCATCTGCAGCCAGACCAGGCACTCTCAAGCCCTTGTACCATTTGTCCCCTTGTCTCTGCTGTAGGGATGCTGGGGAGGGACTCTTCATTAGGGACTGTAGTGACAGGACAAGGGGTAACGGGTTCAAACTTAAACAGGAGAAGTTTAGATTGGATCTAAGGAGGAAATTCTTTCCTGTGAGGGTGGTGAGGCACTGGAATGGGTTGCCCAGGGAGGTTGTGAATGCTCCATCCCTGGCAGTGTTCAAGGCCAGATTGGACAAAGCCTTGGGTGACACGGTTTAGTGTGAGGTGTCCCTGCCCATGGCAGGGGGTTGGAACTGGATGATCTTAAGGTCCTTTCCAGCTCTAACTATTCTATGATTCTATGATTGCGCTTCCTTTGGTTAAATTCACCTCAGTACCCACTTTATCTTGTGTCCTGAAGTCCTTTCACATCATGCTTCCTCACAGCCAGCACACGGGCATCCTCACAAGTAGCTCAGCTGCAAGGACCCGCCAGCCCAGTGCTCAAATTGCATGGCCCACACTCATCACTTCTACTCCAGATTACACTTCTTGACTATGTTATACCCAACCTTTCCTGCCACTGCACAAGTTATATCTTTTGGCTTTCCCTGCCCTCTGATTTGCATTCATTCCTCAGAAAGCCGCTGTCACTTTTCTTTTCCCCTTATTGGCACAGCTTCCAATCTGTGAATCCTTGATGGCTTTCCTTAATTAAACTCATAACTTCTCCTAACTATTTCCCCACTGCAACCCCAGATTAAAGGCCCACTTTGGCCTCCTGGCCATGCAAGGTACCTGCCTCTGTACCACCACCTTTCATTTCCAGAAGGCTTCTTGGGACCTCTGGGCTTGACACTTGCAGGAACCTCTCCATTACTGGGCTCCAAAGAGGTTCTCATTTCCCTCCACAGATCTGTCATGCATTTTGCTGACTCAGCTCAAAACCCTGGAAGGGGGTTGACAAGGACCACATGCTTTCAGGGTCTTTTTAACACTCTTAACTTCTCCATCACCTCTGCTCGGTTTCCTTCAATATTTCTTCTTTATGCAAAAGGAAATTTATCTTTCACTCTGGCATGTGCCCTGCCTCCTGCCTTTGTGAACATGAAGGCAAAACTGGAAGGGATTTTTCTGTCTTTTTAGGTTTTTTTCTTACGCAGTGTCTATCAATAACTCTCAGTGGCTTTTAGAGTCTTTCCATCGCTGATCTATTATTCCTTTGGCCCATGCAACGTTTCTTATTATTTATTAGAACCATTTTCACGGTCTTCCCTTCATTTCCCATAACGGCTCATCTTGTCACTTCTTTAGCTCCTTGCTTCATTCTGAATTTGCAGTTTCGTGGACCACATGTTGGCACATCCTTGTTCCTCCATGCAAACAGGGCTCCAGGTGCCTCCAGGTAGGAAACCAGGAGCTTCAAGGGGGAGAATTCAAAGGGTGGCAAAACTCGGGCAATTTTGATTCTATGGATACACAGCACATGAAAGGGAAGGCTGCAAAGACCTTGTGTTGACTGTGAATGTCACCAGCCATCTTATACCAAGTGTATATATCACACTATAACATCATATATTGCCTTCTTGATACCTACCCTTGTGTATTTTCCACTTCCTTCCATTTTATTCTGATTTTCTTCCAACTTTCTGCTTGTTTTTCCCAAGAAGAAATTCCTCCCTTCAGTTTCCTGAAACTCAGTTTATTTTCTGCAATAGCAGTCACAGATTGTGGTCACTACCTCTAATCAGCATAATGTACCGACCAGAATGAAACCATAACCGTGATTTTTAGTTCATATATGAGGTACACTACAAGGGTTCTAAGAATCTGGAAACCTTCATAGTTAATGCTCCATCCATCTCAGCAGAGGAAAAGGTGCTGTTATCCTCCCCTGAATTTCCTTGCAGCTTATCTCTAGCTTTTAATAGCTGTGACCACCTTAACTCCTACAAAAGTAAGCACTAAAAAGCCACAGCCCTGAGGGTCAAAGTAGAAATGTTCTTTATTTATAGGG